GGGAGAGAAAAGTGAGAAGGGGAGGATTGGGGGAACTTGGGGAAACAGGAAGATTGGGATAAAGGAAGGTTGGATAGGGGAGCAGGGAAGCACATATCTTAGTTAAGGGAGCCACCTTAGGGTTGGCAAGAGACTTGAACCTAGAGTGGCTCCCAGGAGCCCAAGGCGATGTCCCCAGTTAGTCCCTTGGGAAGCTGAGGATAGGGAACCTGAAATGACCCTATCCTATAGCAATACTGGCGAATATCTTGCATATCACCATAGAACCTTCATCTGCTATTTTGAAATTTTGTATCGGTTGATGGTATAGGGCTATCTTGGCAGCTGGGGAAATTGCAGCTGTTTTCTTTTTTTAAAAAAAAAATTATTTATATTTTATGTATGTTGGTGGTTTTGCCTGCATGTATTTCTGTGTGATGGTGTCAGGGTCCCTGGAATAGGAGTTATAGACAGTTGCGAACTGCCATGTGGGTGCTGCGAACTGAACTCAGCTCCTCTGAAAGAGTAGCTAATGCTCTTAACCCCTGTGCCATCTCTCCAAGCCCTACAGCTGTTTTCTCAAGCTGTGCTCCAAGACAGCTCTGAATGGAAACTTGTAACACATGACTTGGGCAGCATCTCTTTGTATTTATTTTATTCATCAAGACTCTTTATGGGCTAGCAATATTAATATTAAACAGACAACGCAGCTAAGAAAGAGCCACCTTCGAGATAATCCACAGATAAAAATGCCCAGAAGATTGGAGTGTGTATTTATGCGATAGTCACACATTCTATCCAGGCTGTGGGGAACCACAGCCACTAGGGAAAGAATGCAATTAGCACATTTAAAGTTACAGGCAAAAGCAACAGGATATTCTGGCGTCTGTACATCTCATAGATTTTGCAAAATGAGTTTCTCTCCACCAGAAATTATTTTCTGGGGGGTTGACACCATAAGTACCAATTGCTATCTCCTGTAATAAATGATAAAGGCTCTCAGCACCGTCCCTCTTGTTTCAGCTCTGTTTCGTGCTGAGCATCCTGGGGAACCCATCTGTGGTGCTTCTGGATGAACCGTCGACCGGGATGGACCCTGAGGGGCAGCAGCAGATGTGGTGAGATCCCAGGAGCAACACCTATGTGGATTTATGTAGCTTTCCAATACTGACTTTAAACATAGTTTACATAAAAGCGTAAAGATATTCATCCTTTAGCAGGAAAAGCAACATTAATAGAAAAGGTCCACGGTTTCATATTCTGGCCAACGCTTGTAATACAAAAGCAAGAGACATATTCCCTCCGTCTAACACGCACTGTAAGAATCTTTTTCTTTCTCTTAGATCTCAGTATGCATAGGACACAGTTAGTCCACTCAATTGATTATTAAAGTTCAAATCCCCTGCAATAGCAGCGTGACACGGTCATAGAGATGAAAATAAAAACCCCGAGTCCTCAGTATGTTAAATACCTTTTGAAATTGCTAAAATCGATCATGTTGTGTCCTTGTAGAATACATCCTGATCATCACATGGTCTAGGACGTCCTCACTTCCTCCCCTCCCTTCTCTCATTAATTCTCCTGCTGTTCAGCACTCTTGAGAGCAACTTTTTCTTCAGTATCAACCTCCGTGTTCAGCCCCAAACCGTTTCTAAATTATATACTCCAACCAAAAGTGAGGATATTTGTCTATAAATCCTACAAAAAATATCTTGGTTTTGGTTCCTCTTGGATGCCCTTCTTGTCTCGCATGTGTGCTAATAGAAACATCTTTAAAAGGTTCCGCGATACCTTGAGAATTCTCTTTATATCAGCTGCTTCCCCTGACCTGACTCTAGGCAGGCGATCCGGGCCACCTTTACGAACACAGAGAGGGGCGCCCTCCTGACTACCCATTACATGGCAGAGGCGGAGGCTGTGTGTGACCGTGTGGCCATCATGGTGTCTGGGAGGCTGAGGTGAGTACTGGTCAGGCCTGCCTTTGGCTCCAGATTGCCTTCTGTGATAAAAGAACACTGCCCACTGTGACAAGCTGGAGAATCTGTGCCGGTCTCTGCCTGGCCCTGCCCCAGACACCCAGATAGTGAATTGCGATGACCAGATATATATATATATATGCATGCCTCCTCCTATCTATCTCCAGATGTATTGGTTCTATCCAACACTTGAAAAGCAAATTTGGCAAAGATTACCTGCTGGAGATGAAGGTAAAGACCCTCACACAAGTGGAGTCCCTTAACACGGAGATCATGACGCTTTTTCCCCAGGCTGCTCGGCAGGAAAGGTAAGACACCTGCATTATTTTAATCTTTGTTTTGGGTGGTATTTGCTTTACAGAAAGATGAGAGGTGAAAGTTCTATCTTCTCATTGTTTTTAACTTCAGTAAGTGTGAGTACCTTCGTCACTAAGAGAAACCCTCTGTTCCCAGGGCTGCACAGGAAATAACCAAGACAATAAATTGCTCATTGGAGGCTGGCTCTTGTGAGGGAATGAGCATTTGCAGGACTTTGAAATAAGCTACGTACTGTTGTATGCTGGCGCTTATATTATCTCAGTCGCCTTTGGCAGAGGGTCAAGCCACCATATTAAAGGAGGTGCCCTGAGAGAGCTCAGTGGTGGTAGTAGACGTCTCAGAATCCATGAATGGCGTTTCTCAGCATTTGTATTAGTGGTGGTTCTTGAGGCACAAGTAGATGAGGTGAAACCAAATAACTAGCAGTTTCTGCTTAGATGCTCTCTTTTCCCTAAGATGGGAGAACATTTCTCTTTCCTCCCTTTTTAAGGCATCTTGCTGCTGATTTCCTCTCTTGTGTCCCAGTCTTTCCTTCCTCACAGACTGACGTCTTCCTGAACAAAGAGCTCTGGAACCACAGCCATCTCCCAGTCATAGGATAGATTTATGCTGGGCAGTAGTGGCACACACTTTTAATCCCAACACTTGGGAGGCAGAGGCAGGCGGTTCTCTGAGTTTGAAGCCAGCCTGGTCTACAAAGTGAGTTCCAGGACAACCAGGACTACAAAGGAAAACTGTATCTTGAAAAAAAAACAAAAAAACAAAAAAAAAAAAAAAAAAAAGAAAAGAAAAAAGAAAAAAAGAAAAGAAAAGACATTCATTTACACAAATAGTTGACAGGGTTGTTTATCGTATTCAGACGTGCACGCATCAGAGGGTCCAACCATGAATCCCAGTGTTCATCCTCCTTCTCTTCACAGATACTCCTCTCTGATGGTCTATAAGTTACCTGTTGAGGATGTATGGCCTTTGTCACAGGCTTTCTTCAAACTGGAGAGACGTAAGTGAATGTTTAAACCATGAACACTCGTAAATGGAAACTGTTCGTTTTGGCAGGCCAGAACCAAATAATCATACAGAAACTGTATTAATTACGGCACTGTTTGACCTGTTAGCTCAGACTTCTTACTAACCAACTCTCACACCTTAAATTAACCCATTTCTATTAATCTGTGTATCACCACGTAAGTGGCCTACCGGTAAGATTCCAGTGTGTCACTTTGACTCCACCTACTTTCTTTTTATATCTCTATTTGGGTTTCCTGCCTGGCTTTACTCTGCTAAGCCACTGGCCAAAACAGCTCTATTCATCAACCAGTAAAAGCAACCCATATACAGAAGGACATTCCACATAAGAAAAAACAGCTTTAAAAATTATAGAATGTTCATGATATATAATTAATAAATTGTAGGATATCTATTTAATCTGGTGATTCTCGACAAGAAATAATTTAGCATGTCCATCTCATAATGCAAAATGCGATAAGTCTAACATCAAAAGTCTGCATAATTCTTAAAAGTCCCTATACTGTTCAAAAGTCTTTTATCAGACTCAAGGCAAACTCCAATATTCCTATTTAAAGGAGTAATCAAAGGATAGCAAGCATAGATTACAGAAAAGCAAGCCCAAAACACACAGGGTAAATTACATTAACTCTTGTAGCTCCATGTCAGAATCTAGTACATGTTTGCCAAGAGATGACCACCTACAGAATTTTGTCCCTCTCCTATGTGCCTGCCACTTTTAGCACATACGACCTCCTTCTTGGGTCTGTTTTACTCAATACCTGAACATTTCCTGTTGGTTTTTCATCTCTGACATCTCCAACATTCAAGGTCTTTACTGCAACCTCGACTTTACACTTTAAAGCTTCATGATGGCTTGCCCAGGAATCTGACTCCACTACACAGTGCCTGGTCTCCCAAGCTTTTCTTGGGAACCTTGGTGCAAGAGTGCAAGACCCAGTTACTCCAAAACTATTGCATTATGAATGCATGCAAAAATTGCACCATGTGCATGATTCCAAGTTCTGCTGTCAGCTTGAGAAATACCCAGATGCTCTTTCACCAAGGCTGCAGCAGCCTTTGAAGGCCTGGCTAGCTGAAACCAGGAAGTTCTAACCCTGGTCCTTTACCAGCAGAGCGCTCTACTCTCCCTGCTCGGTCACTTACTTTTCAACTGAGCTTACATTTCGAGACATTGTGGTCTTTTATGGGAAAAGTCTGGCCCTCAAGAAAATGTTTCTATGTTTCCATTATTTTTTAACTGCACTAATGACTTTAACAGCTGTAACCACTCTCTCTGCATCTACTTTGTCTATAGTCAGTTTAAAGGCACCCACAATGCACACTTTTCCAAAATGTTTATTCCACTCCTTCCCCCCCCTCTCATTGTGAAATTGGCTAAAAGCAACAAACAATAGTTACGCTGTGTTCTGAACGCTGTTTTGTCTCAGAATTTTCTCCACCCAACTAAGCAGTCTATTGAGTGAATGTAGCCTCACTCGAATTCTCAGGACACAACTGTAGCAGTCATCTTTCCCAGAAGCCATACAAATGGCTTCAAGGCTAACTCCCAGCGGAGGGCTCGTTTGCATCTGTTTGCATCTGAGACCTCATGAGTACAATGTTTACCAGCTGAGTTTCTCCTGGCATCTGGGTCTTCCACCAGAAGCTCTGCTTATAGAAATTTAGGGCTCTTCTAGCCCTTTTCCCAACCCTTTCCACATTCCCCTCATAAGCTAGTTTCAAAGGTCTGAGAACCAGATGGTCATGTTTAGTCACAGAAATGACCCCATTTCTGGTACCAATTTCTGTATCAGCTCAGTGTTGTTGTGACCAAATATCTACCAGAAACAACTTATGGTAGAAAAGCTTAACTTGGCACATGAGTTCAGACAATTTCAGTTCATAATAGCAAGAAAAGCATGATGGGACATCTCTGTCGGTTGGGAGCACGTTACTGGGGCTCCTCACAATCACTGTGTCCGACCAGAAGCAGAGTAAACAGGCCAGAGCGAAGAGAAGGCGCAATCTTCCAAGGCTCACCCGTAGTGACGTACACTAGTCAGGTCCTATCTCTAAAAGGCTACGCAGCTTTCAAGTAAGTTTCACAAACTGCGGACTACTTGGATAGCTTGTGAAGGACATTCCAGATTCACACTGGTTTATTCCTCTTCTTGTGTTCTGCTATCAATCTTGCCAACTGCCTTCTGTTGAGGACTCACACTTTCCAGTTCGCGTCTTCTTGATAACTGGTTCTTTTCTCAGTTTACTGTACACTCTTATGCTATGGTCTATTTTCCAGTATGGCTCATTTTGGCCTGGTTGCTAGGTTTGCATCATTACGATAAGAAGGATTCCACGGAGATCTTATAAACAGGATGTATTTTGAAATAGATAAGTATCAACAGAATTGATGTTCCAGGAAGGCTGACTCCCTGAAATACTGTAAAGCTTCTCTTTCAACGCCTTCTGATATTTATGCATTCATCAGTTCCTTTTCTAGTTTGTATTCCTTTCTTTTTATTTAATTTGCTAGCATTGAGATTCACACTTGGGGATATTGTAAAACAATCTTTAATGCCAATTTGCTACCTTATTCTGGGAAGAGAATACAAAGTGTCAAATGTAGGCATGTAATTAACATTTCCTCAGGTGTCATTAGACACCATTATGTTCTCAGTTTCAATGCATTTATTGAAGGAACTAGACTCAGAATTTTTCACAAACGATGCATGCTCCATGGTCATCCATATAGATTTATTTTTTCATGCCAACAGAACAAATGTGGACAATGAAAACCCTAGCACAACTCTAGGATCTTATCTCTCTCAGGCCACACTTGCCTCGGGTGCGTGGTTTTATTTCATCTCTCTTCTTCTGTTCTCTCCTTGTCCTATAAACTGATATTAGGAGCCCTCCCGCCTGTGGTAGAGTGGAAAGGGAAGAGAGAAGTAACACAGCAACAAGCATGGCTGACCATGGGCACTGTAGTTATCACTTCTGTGTAGGAACACAGTATATCATCTAGAGACTATAAATAAGCACAATGGTTACCATTGTCATTAGATCTAAAGAGACAGAAAGACACGGCCTGGGGCAGAGTGGTGGAGAATTTATCACCTTGAGACCCAGTGCCAGGGAGGGAGTGAAGGAAGAAATGCCACGGCCCCTCTTTCTTTTTTCCTTTCTGTTGAAACCCCATTGGGACATGTCACTTAGCGCTAGCCTCTGGGGCAGGAAGAAGGACAGATGTAAGAGGCACATGGGAATTTTCCAACAGAAAGAGAATCATGTTTTAACTTTATTTCAGATTGGTGTTCTAGGATTTCTTATTCTCCTTTTCCATATTCTACTGCCTTTGCCAAAATGCTAAGGAAACAGGACAGTATTTTTGTCTTTTTATGTGACTAACAGATGTATTTAATTTCCAGTAGTTAACTCAAAATAGTTATTACCTTATATTTTCATTATTTGTTTGTTCTTTCTGTACATGAATTGATGAAATTCCTTGAGAAAAAAAAATGAGCTTCTAATGGGCATTCATCCTTACATAGTGAAAGAGAACTTTGACTTGGAAGAATACAGCCTCTCACAGTCCACTCTGGAGCAGGTGGGTAATTTTAGTGGTTGTATATCTTCTTAAAAATGTTAATAGCTGAGGAGATGGGTCATTGGATAAAGCACTTTCTGAATTAGTGTGAGGGCCATAGTTTGAATCCCTAGAATCCACACAAAAGCCACATGGGCACAGCTGACTCCTGTAATCCTAACACCAGGGATGTGGAGGTGGAATCCTTAATTAGGGCAAGCTGGCTGGATGAACTAGCTGATTGAAGAGCTCTAGGTTTCGATTGAAAGTCCGCTCCCCTTTAATAAAGTGTGGAGAGCAGCTGAAGAAGACATGTGACATCCACTCCAGGCCTTCAGAGATCCCTGCACACACACACATCCCAACATCCATGTGGGCATGAATGCATACACATCACATACAAGTAAAAAATCAGAACACGCAAATCTTAGGAAGAACACACAAATCTTCGCATCATTTGTAGAGGTAGAAGGTAGGATGGTGCGCCTCCCATTTCTTTCTTCATTCATTCTCTTTTCCAGGTCTTCCTGGAGCTCTCCAAGGAGCAGGAGCTGGATGACTTGGATGAGGAACTAGACTCCTCGGTGAAGTGGAAGCTCCTCCCACAGGAAGAGCCTTGAAGTTTTAAATGTTCTGTTTGTCTTCAAGCTCACGTCCTTTTTAAAGGCAGCACTCAGCAGCATCGACGCGTCTTATTTGTCTCAGATGTAGTATTAAGTATTTTTGAAACCCATGTCAGAATTTCCCTGAGTAATATTTCTGACAGTGGTGACCAAAGTAAGAACAAGGTAGAACACACAGCCAGGGCCCCCTCAACCAAGTCATGGTTCACACAGTATGGAGTTTTTAAATGCATTTATAATAGTAGTTTCTGAGAAACTACTGCAGAGACTGATTGACCTTCTTCTCCCCTCCACCCCCGAATTCCAAAACATTGGCTGTTTTCTCTCCTTATTGATTAGGTAAGGTATAGTTTAAACAACATTGATTTTAGGGGGAAGATCGTCGACTTCGCAAGCACGGTATTTGCTTTTCATGACCCACATTGACAGTCTGTAGACTTTGGGTTACAGAGAAGGGTTTTGTCCATTGTGACTACAAAAACAGCTTTAAACTTGTAGGAGTAAATACTTGCAATCATTAAATGACTGAGTGCATATTTACATCTACATCTGAACTATTTCTGAAATTTAGAGTTTTTTAAATGATGCAAATATATATTTTTAGGCAAAAGGACTACTTTGCAAGTCTTTATTTATCAAGTCTGTGTATACTAAGTTCTATCTACTGTATCCTCAGTACAACTGCCATAAACTCTATGAGATTTTTACTACTTTTATTTTTACCAGTTATCCAAACATTTACAGGCAGTTATGTGAAAAAATCGACCTTGATTATAGGGTTGTGTGTTGTGCATGTGAACATGAACTGCCCTCATGTCATGAGAAGTCGTGCCCTAGATCTTGAACAAAGGCTCCAAGTCTTTAATTCTTAAAAAAGAGACATTAATGCTGGCCCTACTGATTTACCTGGCCTTGGAAACGATGAATTAATTGATATAAGCCAATACCTAAAAGCACTTTACTAGGGGCCAGAAAAACAGCTTAACAGTGAAGGACTGATGACCTATTAAGCCTGGTGAACAGAGTTTAATCCTGGGGATTGTAGAAGAGCCATCCCTCAAGTTGTTTCCTGACTGCCAAACACATGTGGCGTCATGCATGTGTCTACGTACCTATACTCAGAGCATACAAAAAATGAAATAAAAATATAATGGGCTTTATTGTGGTGTTTTCATATGTATTTTGTTTTTGTTGATACTTCTTTATTGCACCCCTCCCTTACCCCTGCACTACTCTCTGTAGCTCCCCTCCCTTACCCCTGCATTACTCTCCATCACTCCCCTCCTGATGGGGAAGCTCAGCCAATCACATCTGGCTTGGGTGTGGCCACCTGGAGCCAGGTAGTTAAACTGGGGTAGATTGGTGCACAAACCTGCATGGTGCTTGCCTGACTCGTTTGGACTTCGGACCTTTTACTCCGGTTGCGTGGGTTTCCCTGTTTTTCAATTATTAAATTATATCTGTTGTTTTGAGCTGGTTTGGTTAATTTAGCATACCTATTGAATACGCCTTCACTTACACCCCCCCTCCCTTACCCCTGCACTACTCTCTGTAGCTCCCCTCCCTTACCCCTGCACTACTCTCTGTAGCCCCCCTCCCTTACCCCTGCACTACTCTCTGTAGCTCCCCTCCCTTACCCCTGCACTACTCTCCATTTTTCTCAGTGATATAGCTGCTGAGAAGTCATGCTTGCTTCAGAAAATAATCTTTCACTACACTTGGGGCAAAAATCATTAGTTAAACTCAGTGATCAAACATACAACAAAGACATGGAAGCAGGAGGCCCAGTTTTTGGAAAGAAGGCTTTCAGTGAGAGAGGGCGGGTACAGAGACGACAGGGAAATAGGGGCTGCCAATCACTTACATTCATTATATAAATATATGAAACCACTGAAAAATAGAATTAAAAATTCAATAGCTTAAGTAAGTAAATATTACAACAGCCCAAAAAAGATTTCTCTTTCTAATCTCTAGAGACTAAGGCTAGTATGTGACTATTCCATTGTGTCTGTTCATTGCATGGCACCCTGGATGTTGATGTCATCTCTGTGAGGACAGATGGTCTAATCACCTGACTCCAGAGCTCTTTCTGACCAGTGGAAAGAGGAAGCTGCAGACATTCAGAATAGGGGGAATGATGCTCTTTGTCTTTGAAAACTACAGAGTCATGAGACGAGGAATGTAGATATCCTACAGCGGAGTAGTTGAGAGGAACAATAAAGAAAACCAAACATCTACAAAATACTCCGTGATATCGAAATAATTGAAATTTTAGAATTGATTATCACAACAATTACTTAGGATTGCATTGACCATAATAGTAATTCAGGCCAAGGAAAGGCTGTGTTAAAAACCTGAAATATGTGTTTCTCACTCAGGGAACTGACAAACAGCTAAAACCTTTGCGCTAAGCTAAGCCAAGTTCTCTGTCAAGCGAACAGTTTGACAATCTTACCATCTTCATACAAACCAAAACAAAACAAAAAACAACAAAAGAAAACAACAATAAAAAGCAAACACCCACACACAAAATAAAAAACAAAACGAAAAGCTCAGTAGATTTTCTTCTATAGGAGTTTTGGGTTTTTGCTCTCAGAACACTTGGTCAGTCTACAAAAACAATGACATCAACATCAAAATGGTTTTAGAACAAATTAGAGAATTAGTATGAAAATGGATTAATATGAAATACTGTAGAGCAGAGGTCACAATAACAGTTTGTTTAGTGCTCATGGCTTTTTGCGTGTTTACAAGACAGCAGACCTCCCAGTGGCGTGCTGCACAATAACGTAAATCGTTTCTGTGAGGGGCAAAAAAACAAACAAAAAACTCAACAAAGCAGGGTTAGCTCAGTAAAACCTTTGAAGAAGCGAATGTAGCAGACTGTTGGAAGTGAAGGCTCTTCTCGGGGATGATAGCAGCGATTATAGAAGAAAAGGCTGTTTCTTTGAGTGTCTTGGCAGAGAAGCTTAAAGTCAGAACAAAAACGGAGACATGAATTCTTACTGAACAACAACCCTCCACCGCCCAGAACTTGTGAGTGTATTCCAGTCAGCAATACAAAATGATCTCAGAATTCTGAATAGGGAAAGACTTCAGAGAATCAACTATATTTACTTGTTTTATAAGTGAAAATCTAACAGGACTCATTGTGTAATCTTAAGGAATATTATCTGCAGTTACAAGTAATTTTGTAGGCTTGCATTTGGAAATATTGTGTACTGATGCATGGATTTTCATTATTCCTAGCTATATAAGTAAAATAGAACTTTCGACATATTAGCTGAGCAGTGGCTTATGCTTCCCTCCTTACTCATAACTCTGTATTAAAGTAAGGCTTGCTTTACCAAGAGAAAAGGCCCTTTTATGGTTGCCTTAATTCAGATTCTTCATCTTCTGTGTATAGCTCAATGTTGTTCTGAGCCATTTTTCCAAGCCTCATTATGAGCACATTTTAGAGGTTGAGCCCACTGATTGATGCTGCTAAGACTCAAAATTGATGAAATAGTTAGGATGGATGATGTGACATAGAAAGAAAAAAACAAGATATGATTTCTATGCTGTTCAAAACCTGATTAGATTATCTGACTCAACATTGGAAAGTAAGCTCAGAACTCTGAGATCCTTGCGTTTTACCTTTTGAAACAGTATTTTATTCTTTGAAATCTGTCAATTCCTTTTTTGAGGGGTGTAGACAAGTTACAAATTTTATTTTTATGATATTATAACTAGTCAGACAGATAGGGCTAACAATTCCATGCTGTGGGAACTAGCTGAAAGTCAATGAAAAAGACATTTGTCCAAGGGTGGTCATGTGAATTCACTGCTTAGCAGGTCAAGAAAACTACAACCACAATCTTCCTCCAGAAGCAATCACACTGACTGGGAACCCCCAAAACAGGCAAATAGACTGAACACAATACAGACGTGATTGAGACCTGAAAGAAATAGAAACCATTTTCTTGAAGCAGGGAAACACAGGGATAAACCAAGTCTCTAGGACACTTCAAACATCCCAAAAGTAAGTCCATTTTTGCTTCTGTTTTGTTTGTATTATGTAATTATAAATGAGATTTCATGTACTTAATGACCAATGTGTAGGGAGAAAATATCTTTGAGAACAGTGACTTTGGTGTTTTTTGGATTTATTTTTACATGGTCTCCAGGAAAAGGAATGGTTAGTTTTAAAGACATTGCCGTATTTTGTCATTTTAAGTAAAAATGTCTAAATGTACCAGGGATGTGTTAGTGATCGTGAGGGATGTAAGAAGGTCTTCTGGAAGCATTTATGGTATGAATCTGAACACAGATCTGCTGTAGGGCTGCAGCTAATCACACATGTGGCTTAATTGCACAACACTTGGCAGGCATTTCCAGTACACTTTCTCCAATCCTGAGACTTGCTTAGAATGACATTTAGAGAAATGCTCGTGTATTTCAGATTATCATTCTCAAGCTTACAGCTTTTTAAGATGTAAGATACTTTTCCTGCACACCTTTATTGGTTGGGTATGAGGTACTGAATCCTATTGAGTCATGTGTCACTTCATTGCAATGGCATTTCCAGTGTCCCGTCCTTTGCTGTCTGCAGGAGTTTATAGTAAACAAGGTTTTGTTAACTGGTGCACAGAGTCAGTCAGTGACATTCACTTATGCTGAAGCAAAGTCTTCATTTTTATTTGCACATGGGCTAGCATCTAGCAATCAGAGAAGGAAAAAAATGCAAGCAAGAAGGATGTCTTAATGAGATTATTTGTACTGCATGACTGATTTGCAGTGAAACTCTGGGCTTGGGAGTTAGACTCAGTTCCTCTGGCTACAAGGGGCTGTGCCTGCTTCTTTAGCGGGTTTAAGCTGTCCCATCTCTTTAAGAATGTTTAGGTTACCAGGGACTATTCTTGGGAATACTGGACAGTCTGACCTAAAATATTTTTTATTTATTTTTTGCTAGTTCTACATTCCCTCCTGCATTTGTCAGTCCACGGGCTTTCTAATATCTTTTCTCTGTAGTAGGAAGGCCGCTTGTTTGTTCCCAGTCGCCCAGACTCCCAAAATAACCACACAGAAATGATATGAATTAAATCACTGCTTGGCCTATTACCTCTAGCTTCTTATTGGCTAACTCTTACATATTAATTTAACCTATCTCTATTAATCTGTGTATCACCCCATGGCAGTGGCTTACCGGCAAAGTTTCAGCATTAGACTCTGCTCCATTCTTTCAGGTCCTCAGACCCCAGGTCCCACAGGAACAGATCTGCATAGGTCATCAGAAAGTCAACACCAACTCTATGACATTTTCTTGATTAGTGATTAAGATAGGAGAACCCATCTACCAGGAAATAGTGTCATGCCTGGGAAGGTAGTCTTGGGTAGTACAAGAAAAAGAGTTGAGCAAGACATGAGGAACAAGCTAGCCAGCAGCATTCCTCCATGGCTTCTTCTTTAGTTCCTGCCCTCAGGTTCCTGCTCTGACTTCCCCTCAGTGATAGAGTCTGACCTAAGAGTTACAAGATGAAATAAACCCTTTCCTACCCACGTTGCTTGTGGTCATGGTGTTTACCACAGTGGTAGAAGTTCATACCAGGTCCTGGGCTATTATAGTGACAGAAGAAACCATGTTGTATTGGGGAGAACTGTGGAGCTTAGAACCTTGAGCTAGAAAATCTATTGATTTTTATGGGTTATTATGGGAATGTGAAAGATAGCGCCAAGAGCAGTGAAAGTAATGGATACCTGCCTTGTCAAGTTTTAGAGAAAAGCTTGAGATTCCCTTAAAGACTACCAGGACTGCTCAGAATCTTTCTCTAGTGTTTTAGCTCTCATCTCTGAATTTTTACATTTAAAATAGGGTGGGTTTTTTTTTTCATTTTATTTATTTATCCTTTCTGTTGCTGTTGAAAGCAATTATTTATATCATTCCTTCCTAAAATTAATTATATGAATAACTCTTTTGATTAGAGAACTTGAATTACTTATAGCTAGCATAATCATTGAAGTGGTTGAAGAGACCTACCGTGCATGTTTTTCACTTCCCATATTCTTACTCTTCCTTGTTTCTCTGTTCTTACCTTCTGTTTTTATTAATTGCATATTTCATTTCATGTATACCATGGGTTTTTAGCTGCGTTGTCTTTATTTCCATATTTATAGTTTGTGGTAGCCTCGGGCTAAAGTAATATTGTCAGTATTCCCTGTGTGCCAAATTCTCTCAGCTGTGTTCGTTTTTCCAAAATGCATTCTACTTTGTCTTCAGTTTAGATTTACTGTGGCTTTGAGAGGCCTACACTGACTGAATTCTTTGTACATGCTGAAGAGCTTATTCTGTTATCTGTTTGCTTACATCATTTCTGATAAGACTGGTCTGGTTTTTATATAACTGCTACAGAAACAGTAATCTAAAACTGGGAGATAGCTCAGTTAGTATAGTGCTTGACACGCAAGCTTGTGAACATTAACTCTGATGCCCAGAACTTATGTGTAAAAGCAAAGTATGCTAATGCATGCTTATAATCTCAGTATAGGAAAAAGACACAGGCAGATCTCTGGGACTTATTCATCCAATTTAGCCTACTTGGGAAATTCCAGGCTAGAGATCCTGTCTCAAGAAGTGAACAACATAAAAGATTGACCTCTGCCCTACACACACACACACACACACACACACACACACACACACAAATCAATGATCTAAGTCAATCTTCGATATCCTATCCAAAGTTTCGGATTCCAGTCAGCTTCTATTTGAAGTTCATGGGTCTGTTGAGTATTTGCAAAAGGATGAGATGCAAAGTCAAGTTGCTCAATCCCCTGTAAATCATCTATACAGAGGAAAACAAAGAATCAAAAAATGAGGTAGAGCGATATTAGTGAATAAAATTTACTTCAGCTGTTGCAAAAATTATTAAAATTGGAGAGAGGCCATCTGATTGGGTGAGGCTGTTCCCTGAACTGATCCAAGGGCTCTCCAGGGAGACATCCCCAAAAGCAATAATCATCAACATTCAGTATGTATTAAAAAGGTTTCTTGCTTCAGCACTGTCTAAATAGCAGCTCTTGCTGGAGGGTAGGAAGCCTGAGTTGTGATATAACCATAGTATATAGGATGAATGTTGACTACAGTGATCAAGCTGTCTTTTGGTTACTGTCTTAGTTAGGGTTCTATTGCTTTGATGAAACACCATAATCAAAAAGTAAAAGGGGGAAAGGGTTTATTCATCTTTACCTCCACATTGCTGTTCATCACTGAAGGAATCCAGGAAAGGAACTCAAACAGGGCAGGAACCTGGAGGCCATGGAGGGGAGCTGCTTGTTGCCTTTTCCTCCTGGATTGCTCAACTTCTTTTCTTATAGAACCCAGGACCCCCAGACCAGGGATGGTACCACCCACAATGGGCTGGACTCTTCCGCCATTGATCACTAATTGAGAAGAGGACTTACAACTAGATCTCATGGAGGTAGTTCTTCAACTGAAGCACCTTCCTCTCTGATGACTCTAACTTGTGTCACGTTGACACAATACCAGCCAGTACAAATTACTTTATAAGAAACCTATCTGAACATATGGGAGGAAAAGTTGTAAATACAGTATAATAATTGATCATCAATTAGTGGAACCCACTCCATCATGGTAACTGTAATCAACTTTGTTAGTTGTCTGGGCTACTGATTAGCATCCACCTGATAGACCAATTTATAGCAACTCATAACCAATGTGGTCAAGCAAATAGCCATTTTTATGTAGATGTTTTTCTAGAGTCTCTATTTTTTTCAAGCTGTTACAGATCCTCATTTCGAATCTGGATGCCAATTCTTTCTCTGAGAGTTCTATTTCTCCATTAAAAATCAGAAGGTACTCTTTGGCTAGGGGAGCAGAGGCAAGCTAGGAAAAGAATGAGGTGAAAATATACACGTCACTCAAGGCAGGTCTGTACTGCTTTCTTTACTATTCATCTTCAGCCATGAAAGTCGGTGTCCTGACTCTGTTGAGCCTTGTTCAGTAGTTCAGCTTGCTCAATCATCTTGTGCTTCTACAGTGTCCTCAAATTTTCTCAGAAAGTGTCTAGAGGTGTTTGTCTAGATTGGAGATTTTTAATTTGTGGGTACTGACCCCTTTGGCAAACTCCTATCTCCAAAAATATTTATATTATGATTCATAGCAGTAGCAAAATTACAGTTATGAAGTAGCAGTAAAAATAATTTTATCATTGGGGGTCACCTCAACATGAAGAACTGTGATTAAAGGGTCATGGCATCAGGAAGGTTGAGAAACACCCCTCCAGATTGTGTACTGCAAGGCTAACAAGTACACTGTCCTATCTGTTGGATTATCACCACTGATAGAAGATTACATCATTTCTTACCTCTAGGTCTCTGTTGCTTGATAATAAACCACCTCCCAACACCTTCATGAGTCACATGACTGGGAATGTTGGTAGTGAGTAGAACAAGGAACAAGAGGGGGGGAAAGGAAGAATAAGGATTGAAAGAGAAAAGAATAAAGAAACACGCATAGATGGAACCTGTTGTGTGTAGACTTCTTTACCCTCAGACTTTTAGCCCCTATTTAGCTTATCTTGGCATCTTTAATTGAACCATGAAAGGAAGTCTCAAAGGCTGGAACTTTAAGGCTCCTGTTACTCCTTAACTCCACCTCACTAGGCATTCAAATCAGATACAGGTTCACTTTTGGTGTCCTGTCCGTCTTTCTTTCTTTCCAGGGATTGTCTCATTTCTTTTCTCCATCTGTCAGCTTTGCCTCTGAGCCTCATTAAACAGCCCCATGCAGGTTTCTCCTCTCACAATACCCCCAAGCCTGCTTTGGCCATTTTGTCTCCCATTAGCCTGATCCCTGGACTTATCCTGAGCTTTGACTCTAGGAAATACAGCTCTGTGTGAGCTCTCAGTCTATGAACACAGCTAGGTCTTCTGGTGAGAACCCACCCACTCCTTGTTACTATGGATCACCATGTGGTGTTCATACCTAGCATTTGCTTCAGAAGGCAGGACTTAGAACCAAAT